AAGTGTTACGTCTTATGGCTTTGCCGCCGACAGGCTGCTGGGATCTACTGAAGACTGATCACTTGCTGGAGGTGATTCCGTTTGGTGTTACGACATTCTTTTACTGCTTATTTTATCTTTTGTAGAATACCTAAGCAGCTGAGTGAAAAAGTGTTTGCAAAATCCATGCAGAAGTCTGAAGAACTCAAAGAAACTGAAGGCACAGGTAAAACAAGATCAGATGTTCTTAATCTACGTTTGTGAATCCTGTAAGCAAGAGAAGAGAGGGAGTTAAGGGGGGAAGCGTTCATGAGCTCCTGATGGCAAGTTCTTTTTCCCCGGAGCTGTTTAAACCTTTCCAAGGCTAACCCAAGGGCTGCCTGATGGCCTTGCTGTAGCCCTCCTGTAGAACACCTCTCCGTATCGTAAGATACGTCCCTCTAGTAGTGAACGAGGCTGAAGACAAACGTTGCGTTTCCGGAGGAGGGTGCTGGGGGCAGGTCACAGCCGGAGCACCGTCCCTGCCCCGGGGTGTGCTGTGACGCAGGAGGGAGCGGAGGGGCTTCAGGCACCGCGAGAGCACAGAGATGCTACAGCCTGCAGATGTCTTGGCGGTGACTCCAGGAGTCTGGGGCTTCGGTTTCGTATAAGTTTGATTAAAGGCAAAATCATGTGGGAGAACCCTCTTGTGACAAGGCCGTAGAATTGTTCTGGGCGTGCGTGGGGCTTTGAGCAATCTGCTTCTCGTGAGCAGTTTACTTAGTAATAGCAGGTGATCCTCTGGTAAGGAACACACGCCTTGTTCTGGTAGAAGCTATTAAAAGAGAACCAGAGGAATGCTTTGAGAAGTGCAGGGGATGGTGACCCCAGTCTTAGGTTCTGCAAACAGATGGGTGTGTTGGAAGATGCCCGAGCACGTGATCTCTGCTGTTTGTAGGCAGCACAGAGAAGAAAAGAAAAAGGAAAGCAGAAGAGGAGGATGATGATGACCGCTTGGGTGAACAGCCTTGCAAAAAACTTACATCCAAAGAAGTAAGTGTGATTTCTTGCAGTAGAGCAAATGAGCGGGGTAAGAGTGGTGAGATGGGGCAGGAGGGAGCGAGTGCAGGGGCTGCCGCGGGGGGGTGGCTCCCTGCTGGCGTGAGATGGGGCAGTGGCGCGTTCCGGCCGCACACGGACGGTGGGAGGCTCCAGCGGGGAACAGAGCGTGGGAGGGGGGAGCCCCGGGGTCACTGCTCCGCTCCCCCCGTTAGCCGGCCGGGAGAGCGGGCTCCGTGCTGGCGGTGGCAGAGTTTGGGGCGAGACGGGCAGTGCTGCTCTGTCCTCAGAGAGAGCTGCTGCTGCTGTTTTCTGTTCGTGTTAGTCAAGTCTAAACAATTCTTCTGGAATAACTTAAATACCAAGGGAGATTGTCTGCCTGTCGGACTCTGAGTGATTCGTAAGCAAACGGGTACAGCGGGGGCTGTTTGGGGCGTTGCTGTGGGCTCTCGGGCTGTCAGAAGGGAGCAGACAGTTCTGTGTGAATGTTCTGCCACGTCTTCTGTGAAAGAGCTCCTGGGTGTCTCTGCACATCAGCTTGTGTCTGGTTTACTGCTTTTGTGAAGATTAAAGTGTATCTTCCTTTAACATTTTAAGGGGGTGGGTGGGTTCCGTATAGACATCCATATATTTGCATCAGTAATGGGGATTTTGTTTGACATTATTTGACATAAGGCATGTGCAATGCAAAGTGAACAACACTTGAAAGAATGCAAACAAATTCAGGCTATGGATACTGGGGGTTTGCTAATGTGTTTTGTGTGTATTTGCAGAGAAGACGAGCTGAGAGGCAGCAGCGCTCCAAGAAAGTTGGAGTCCGGTATTATGAAACTCACAACGTGAAAAATAAGAATAAGAACAAGAAAAAAACTGGCTTGGAGGGACAAAGATCAAAGCACAAAAAACACAAACATAAGCAATAACTGCTTATTCTATTAAATTTTACATAAAACAGCTCTAGTATGCGGTGGCTTTTTTTAATATGAAACTTGCCGTTCCCATTCAAAGCCCAGTTTGACTTGTCTCTCTCGTTCCCAGGAGTAGCCTCTCACTCTTTGTTTCTGCATCATCTGAAAGTTCTTTATGCAGCTGGAGATCGTGGTATTTCCACATCACCGTCGCAGGCCAGTAAACACTGCCTTGGCAAAACATATCCTGAAGTGTTACTCAGTGGCGGTGGTTTGGGTTTTGGTTTGGTTTGTTGGGATTTTTAAATTTTTTCTTTTTTTTCTGGAAACCAGCTGTACGGAGGTTTTCATACAACCAAGGTGAATCGTCTTTCCCCCATCTCTTGCTGTGTGTAACCAGGGAGTTGCACGGGTACCTCAGAGGCTGCCTTTGGGATGCTTGGAATGGTGCCCTCGGAACTGACCCCGCGGAGAGCTCTGGTGTGGCTCAGCCTGGGTCACCGCTAACGGTTCTGACGGGTTTTGATGTACAATTAACACCAACGCACGGGTACTGGGGGAAACGCCCTCCAAGCACCTGTTCAGGAGTTCCCTGCCTTTGATTCCTACTGAATGTGACTTAGGGTAGAGACTTCATGAGATGTTTCTGAACTTTCTACAACATTTTGAAAGTAATAATGTTACAGAGAGGCTTGCATACAAGAGTGCTGATCAGTTGATTGCTTTGAAGGTCATCCAGCCTATTGCCAACAGCAGTTCCTAGACTAGAACTGAATAGGTTCACCCTCCGGGGAGCTGAATGCTGCGATGGTGTTGAAAGAGGGCGCAGTAATTAATGAAGCTCTTAAATTTCAACTCTTCAAGAGAAAAAGAAAGAATGTAACTACGCTGCCTTCAGTTACCGGTAAGTGAGAACTCAGACAAATCTTTGTCTCTAATTGCAGGCTGCTTGCTCTGAGCACTGCCTGGCGGACAGCAAAAACATCTACTTGTTTAGTGCAGTGATGCTTTCAAGTTGAGCCTGAAAAAACAGATGAGACAGTCAGATTAGATTCAACCTAAAAAATAAGCCCGCGTAGCTGTAAAGCGATAGATTGTTCGATATCCAAAGCGAGGAGCTGAGGGATGCTGCAATACTGCGAGACAAGCACGCCAGGGTTTTTTCCCTAGTTCATTCCTTGCTACACGTTTTATAAATTAGCTTTTCGTTCTTGGCATACACACTTGTTGCATTCTGAGAAGAAAAGAGCTGGCCTTGGCTCCATACAATGAAAGACTTAATTTTATAATGTAAAGCATTGAAGGGGAAATTAAATAAAAGCTGTTGAAACAGTGGTCTGAATTCTCTGATTTCAGGCTGGACTAGGTTAGCTGAATTAAATGTTTGGCTCTCGAGTATCTGGAACACAAACTGACTCTGGGACAAAAGTAGCTGGGAACAGCAAGTTTTTCAGTTCCTGAGACAACTTGACGCCCAATTAGCAGATTGATGGGAGAGCTCCCCGCGGTGCACACACGGCCCCTGGAACCCGGGGCTGCCGGGAGGGACGGGGAATGGTTTGGTGATTCGGTTTGGTGCCCTAAAACACTCGGGATGGCCTGAAGGTGTTAAGGAGGAGCTGTAGGAACAGCTCAGGTGAGGAGAGCAGCGTAAAGGAAGGGTCTAGCCAGAAACATTTACCGTTGCTTATAGCAACATTTTCTCCTTACTCAGAAGATGTGAGATTTTTTTTCTTTTCAAAAGCAACGTGATGAGCAGAAGCTCTCTACACCAAAGCAGATGCGCAAAATCACTCCTGTAATCCCGCAGTCACTACTGTGTTTCTTACTTCTGCTGTTCTCACATGGTAATATTTAATGTTAAATGGTGGGTACCAGGGAGTCAGCGTCAGAGGCCGACAGCAGAGAAACAAAACATCTGAATTTGCCTTCACCAGATTTTCTATTTTGAGTTGAGGTGCTGTTACAGCCTTCCAACCGAGTTATCAGAAATGGATTCCTGGGTATTGGTCAGCTTTGAAGCCTCTGCATTTGGGGTTCAGCTGCATGTGTCTGCTCTTCTCCAGCTGACTGTAACAATTGGTCATTTTCTGAACAAATTCCGATCCTTCCCTGGCAAATGTGTGTATGACAAGAATCTGATAAATCTGACCTGCTGTTTGCACCGTCAAGTTTACGGGTAACGACCAGCTGCTGACTGAGCAAGGAAGTAAATGCAAAAGCACTATTTTCCCATTTCTGGGAGAATTTAAAGGAAGTGGAACATGAATACAAATGCATCATAAATGCAACATTTCTCAAACTAGAAGGAGAAAGTTATTTTCATATCTTCCCAATTACAGACTGAGAAGTTTTACCATTGCTATTTGGAATTGCAGGTTTTTACTGACCTTCAGCTGTTGATTCGTTCGTTTCAGGAACTGAACCTCCTCAGCATGTTTCTTTTCTTGGATCTGTTGCCTTTCATTTTCACGTTTTTCAGTAGCTTCACATTTAGCTCTCTCTTCGCTCACTTGCCTTTCCAGCTCCCGCTTTTCCTCTTCCAGCTCTGCAATCTTGGAAAAGAGCACAGATCTCTCAAGTTTTGTTTGTTAATGATCGATTTTCAGTGAAGATGGGGCAAAGTTGTATGTTGTACCATCTTTAAAACGTTCCAGATAAAATAGCACACAATTTATGAAGTGCAGTTAAGCCCTAGGAAAACAGTATTTTTATGATCTTTACTGCCCTCCAGTGGAAAAAGGAATAACTGATTTTGCGTAAAGTTCTGTACGCAGTATCCTCACACTGTATCACGTGCCGAAAACTACATTATGGGGTTAACAGCCCAACTTACTCTTTTTTCCATGTCAGATTTGCCTTCCTCAGCTCGCAGTGCCTTCCGCATGCCAAACGCCACGCTGCTCTCGTACAAGGTCTGATAGGCGGCCATTGTCATTTGGATTTCATCCCTGACTCGAAGCAGCAACAGCCCTCGCTCCGCACAGTTAATTGTAACTTGACGGATCAGTTCATCTTTAAAGAAAGGGTGCAACAATCTAGTTAAAGTAGCTACTGCACCTGTATCTGGGAACGCTGGATATACACAGGGCACAGAGGCTTTTACCTGTTCCCTGCGCTGCAGAAGTGACATGGATTTACCAGTCTCTTTGTTACGTTAAAGCTCTAGCATCAAGTGCTAGCAGATAAAAGCAGAGCGGTGGTACAGGACCTATAGTAACTAACGCTATAGCAGCAAACGTCTAAAAACTTGTAATGTTTTTTTGCAGTTATTGGGGAGCCCCCAGAAAAGTCAGAAGCCTCCAGAAGAATCCTGCTCCGGGCACTGGCCCTCTCTTGCATTGGGAATACCAGCAGCAGGTCATCAGCGTGTAAGTGCGTTTAACCGTTACCCAGGGTTTTAAGTTGTTTTAAATTAGGTGTTGGGTTAAGAACAGATGACAGAATTTTAAGCTTTGCATTTCTTACTGTAACGTAAGCGTAGACATCCCTTACAATGCGGGATCTCAGCGTCAGCTTTGCCACTCAGGGCGCCGCTGTTGAAACGCTCTGTGCGGCCCAGCTCTGGTGTGTTACTGGTCCCAGCCCTCCACCCCCAGGCCGGGGGGGAAGGCAGGGGCAGGGCGGCTGCTGGAGGAGCCCCCCCTTGCCCTGCCCCGGGGGGCCCGAGGCGCTGTTAAACCTTCTGCGGGGCTGTGGGCACTGACCGAAGCACTGCCCGTAGAGCTCCCTGCGGACGGGGCAGATGCCGGTCTCCCGCGCCTGCCGCTGCAGCAGCCGCAGGTCCAGCTGCTCCTGGAGGTGGACGACGTCCTGGCGGGTGCTGGGCGCGCTGGACACCTCCTGCACCCACCGCTGGTTCTCCTCCTCCCACTCCCTGCCACGACAAACACCGGGTGTTACCGGGCGTTACAGGGCGCCCCGCGGGACA